AAATAGCAACATCCTTTCCCCAGTCCTGTCATTTCCTATTCCCCTTACCCTGTTTTTTTTAAATTACCCTTAGCTTTACTTGATATGGTAAATATTTACTTGTTTGTTGTTTGAACTCCTCCATGGAAAGGACTATCTGCGTTCCTCTGCTAGAATGTGAGCTCCTTGAGGGAGTTTGCTTTGCTCAGTGCTATATCCCCAGTGCTTAAAAGAGTAAAACAGAGTAAGAGATGCTGCATAAATATCTGTTGAGTGAATTAATGGGGCCTCATCCAAAAATATATTGTGCAAAAAAGGGGGGGGCACCAGGTCTCACCAACTTTTTTGACTATCTCCTTGAGAGTCTCTTCATGGTGATTATATATGTCAAACTTCTAAAAGTTTCAAATTAATTAAAAAGGGGAGTCACAGTAAAGAAGGATTATCATCATCTCATACAGCTAAATTTTCAAGTGACAATCTCTGAAACAGAGAACTGTTTGTTGAAACAGTACTTTTCAAATGACTCTTGAGCAGGCAATAGGGCTGAGTGAAGAAAAAAGGCCAAGAGCTTGAATTTATTAGGTGAGATCCTAATGATGGTTAGGATTCTTATAGAACTGCATTGGGTATCATGGATATACATTCAGTTTCACTGTTAGGTATTGCAGATTAAGATTGGAAAAAAAAAAAAACTTATGCTGTTGTCCCTCCACTTTTATGGTATTCTAACACTATTGTACCCCATGATTTTATTGTAGCCAAGGACACTATTGCAAGAAGAAATAGACTGTTTATTAAAATTAATCTAGCCTGTTATTAAAATTGTGTGTATTTCAAGAATTACAAGTATGGGGAAAGGTTGGGGCTCTGACGGGGAAGAGCAGCAGCTGATATTAACCCCAGTAATACAAAATCTCTGTATAGTCTGATAAGTAAGTCTGTATAGTCTATGCAGGCAGTTAAGTGATTTGAGTCTGATATCAATGGAAAACCTTCCTAGTTCATCAGATAATACCCAATCTTTGTTTCTTTATTTATACCTAGATAGTTAGCCTAACTCTGTGGTGTATCAAACCTAGTCTATGTAAACATCGATTGTATTTAAAATTCTGCCTCGTGGTTCTCTGATTATCTTTAGTTTCCTTTGTAAAGAATTACACATTTCTGTAGGTATTTGATATATGACATTGGAACTGCATTTTTTTTTTTTTTTTTTTGTGGTGGTGGTGGTGGTGGAGGCGGACAGCAAAAAACCACCAACAAGCCTTTTTTTCTCCTAGCTCTTACCTTCTTTATCATAGTTAACCTACATCAGCCTCCACAGATTGAGATGAGACTGGGATTGGGGTAAGGGCATCAAAAGAGAGGATGATACCTACGCAAAAGACACAATCCTTTTTCTAGTTCAACAGCTACCACTTAACTCCCCCACTAACAGAAGTTTCTCAAGGTCAATTTAAGGGTGCCAGAGGAAAAAAAATCTAGTCAGAAGGTGCAAGCTCAAAGCTATGTTCTTTAACTGTGATCTAAATAACTTAAAAAACATATTTCTATCAGTTCTTGGTGTTTCTCCTCCTGCCTCCACCCTCATTTCCACCTCCAAATTAATTATTTTTATTGAATAGCCTTTTTATTTTGTAATCACATAAACATACCCTTGCAGCCCTCAAGTGTATTGATTAAGAAGAGTCTATTTTCTTCAATGAGCATTGAATGAGATAACTCATGCATGTGAAGCTCTCAGTAGGTGCTCAATAAAGTTTAGTTAGCTCATTTATTTTCTTATTTTTGGTATCTTTTCAGCAAGATAGCATCTAAGAAATTATTAACAAACATTTTCTAAAAATTATTTAAAAGCTGGGAAAATTGGGATGTGAAATTTATGGAATTTTATAAAGCCAATGATACATTAAAAAAGAATTAACCATGGTTTGAATTTTGGCAAAAGACAATCTGTACATACATAGCTAAATGGTGAATTTAAACATGCAAAGTGGAGAATTTAGGCAGGTATCCCAATAATTAAATATATATATATATATGAAAATCTCCCATGGATGAAGCTCTGGGAATTTTTAAAAACTTGAATTATTCATATTGAATATTGACATTAATGATAAATACCAGATAATAATTTTTTCTCTCCAGAGCTGAACTGGTGTGTGTGGATAAGTTTTAACACATCTATTCAAACAGCTGAGAATCTTGAAGGGGAAGTCAGAACAACAGGAAAGGTGGGGTGGAAGGTATTAATCACAGGAGACTGCCCTATCATTCCTTTCCCTCCGGGTATCATATATAAAGGCTCAAACCAAGATACACCTCTGGATATTATAAAAGAAACAAAGGAATGTACCCTGTGGAGTTTTCCATCCTCCTCCATGTGGAATTGAAAATATCTAAGTAACAAAACAACTCTCAATAACTGAAAGCACACCCTTTCGGCTGCCTCCTGTGGAGTATCTTGAGAACTGTTTCCCAAGAAGGGTCAGCATTGTAGGACATAACTGTAAGGGGTGAGGAACTGAGTGGATGGGCAGCTGTGGCCAGAAACTTCAAAAGGTATTTAAAAATGTGGAACATGTTTAAATAGTGAAGAAAGAAAGAGCAAAGCGCTACCACTGCATTTTTCAGGCAAAGGGCAGGTGACCACTATTCTCTGACTTTGAGAGGTACAAAGCATCCACACATTGGGGGAACATGTTTCAGCAGTATAGAATTCAACACGTTGCCAGAGCAAAATGTGTGTCCTCTGATTGGTATAATTTTCAGTCATTTGGCCTACCCAGAAGTAACTACTCTTCTCCCAAAGGTGTGTTCTGTCTAACTGGCTTATTCCAGTCTCCGGAGTGGGTTGGTTTAATGAGATCTTCTCTGCATTACTGCAGGCTTTTATTTTCAGCAATCCTTGTGCAAAAGGAAAAATTAGCCTTGCTCTGGGGGACACTTTTGACTGAGTTCAAGTGTGCCCGATTCTCGGAGGGTGAGATTCAGCATCTTTCTTGTCATTACTAACTTGGTTCAGGAAGCAAAAGAAATTAAACCACCTCCAAATAAAGCCATGCTTGTTTTCACATTTTATAGCTCTCCTCTTCCCACCGCCACTTTGCACCTAGAGAGAAACAGAAGCGCGCCTTTGGGTGCGGATGGGTATGATGTGGGTATGGGTATGTAAGGAGGCTTATGGATAAGCTTCACCAGAGGTGCGCAGAAAACACGTGATAGCGAACTGGAGGACAGTGGGGGCGACGTGCTGCTCGGAACTCAAGGTTTGAGTTTCCAGATCCTGTCCTGATTTGCCTGAGGACACGTCATTAGCTCTGGCCTCTTTTCCTTAAGGGTCTTTTATTTTTCCCCTCCCCTGCCCCGCCTCATTCTCGGGAAGTTTCAAGAACTTCCCGGAGAGTTACAAGTGCAGTTTAAGCACGATAATTCTCAAGGCACTCAGGTTTCCTTACCCACGCTTATATAGTAGGATTCAACAAGGTTAAAAGAAAAAAAAAAGGACACTGTGGACGGTAGTGAGAAGAATGGGAAATTAGATTGACAACTTTAATTAAATCAATTATCTGCTCTTCTACATTTGGCGCAAAGCCCGTCTCTCCTCCCATCCTCCCACTCCCCCCCAACCCCCGCTCGGGTTCCTTTTCAGTGGCAGAACTCAGACCTACACTCGCTTTGACTTTTAAGGATTTGAGGGAAATGTCTCAAAAACCCGTTGGTTCGGGCAGCGAAGCAGCCGGGAGAGCCGGGCCGATGCTAAGATGGCAGGAGGCGCCCCGCGCGGGCTCAGGAAAGCTTTCATTTTTATTCGCTTTTCAGCATTCCCTGTGCAAATGCTTCAACTGCAGGGTCACATCAAGAATCTAAACTAATTACTTTAATCTGTGGATTTAAACAGAACAGAAAATCCTTACCGGGCACAAAAATGGATGGTTGCATTTCTGGTTAAGAGAATGTGTGTTACCAAGAAAAGCATTTTAAAAATTGAACCCTTTAAAACAGAACATCAGTGTAATCTTTACCTACTGGCTAGCACCCTGGCACCTCCAACTCAAAAAAATTGCCCCAGAACTCTAATGTCTGTTGCAGGTTCGGTTCGGGCGATCGGAAGGGGGTCGGGGGGAGGGGTCTTAGCTCCCTCTAAAGCGCTGTTTGAGAAATTTCTTTTTCCTACTCTTTATAGGAGCTACCGTTTTAGGAGACGATTTTGGAAATGCACCCTGGCATACACTCTTTTCTGTTATCCTCCTCTCGTGCTCTTTAAGTAACCACCCCCCCATTCAAGAGATTTCATCTCCAGAATTGCCAACGTGGTCAAGTAAAAGCTAGCTCTCCTGAGGGTCTCAAATCTTTCCATAGTGGTTGCTAACACAAAGTAACTATTTACTGTTGATTTTTAATTCATAATATTAACACTCTGAATTTTATACTTTTTAGTTTAATGGGAAAAATTCTAGGAAGAAACCACGTGGAAGTCAAGTAACCACGATGTTTTAACAAAGCACTTAGTTACAAAAGAAGTTTGCTTTGCAAGGCTATAGAACATCAATCAAGATTTCCATATGAAAAAGGTATTTTATTCTGTGAAGTATAGAATACTATAGGAAGCAAGCTGAGCAAATTTGCACTCTGATTTTTGTGCTGTAGTTAGTCAAATCCCCAACCCAGGCCCCTAACCCCCCCCCTCCACTGAACAGATTAGAACACCTACTGATTATGAAAAAATAAAATTACATTCTAAAATGAAGAACCAAATATTCAGCGAACTAGTTCTTTATTCAAATTGGAAAGGTTTGAATCTTTTACCTGTTGCATCATTAGTAGAAACTTTTCTAACAGTCAAAAGATAAATTCTGTACAATCAATTTTAAAACTACAGAAACACTTGCAAGTTCAACATTCCATTAACAGTATCATAAACCAAAGCTAAATTTAACAAATTTAAAAACTTTAGAAAAGTTTTACTTGTAGAAAAAGTAATAGGTAAAATTAAAAAAAAAAAAAAAACAACTTACTCTTTCTCTTAAAAGAAGTGAAGTCACGCCAAGTGATTGAACTCCTTGGAGGATGAAGTAAAATGAAAAGGCAAGTTCGGGCACTCAGACCTGTCTATTTAAAGTTTAAAACTCTGCTGCTGTTTGGTACTTTCCTCACGCCTTCCCCCTAATGAAAGAAAAGTGCTGATACCTCGTAAAAGCTTTTTTGTAACTTGGAGCACAGAGCTTTTAAAAGTTTCAAGCCACTGACTCAACTAGGAGGAGGGGCTAGAAGGAAGGGGAGGGCAAAAGGAAAGGCGGGGAGGAGGTGGAGAGGAGGCTGGTGAACGTGGAGGGTAGGGAGAGAAGAGGCAGAGAGGAGTAGCCAGGTCAAGATAAAGTTGTAATTTATATTTGCTGATAAGAAAAAATAAAATAGCAGTAGAGACATGAATGCCTGCACTTGGAGTTACTCCTTACAGATAAAAATTACTGGTTTTAGTGCTTGTTTCACAAAAAGATCAGGGATAATGAAAACTTGTGTATTTTATAATATTAAAACATTATCTAAAATACAAAAAAATTTACAGTAAATAAAAATGGTGAAGAATAGTATAACCAGTGCAAACTCGTTTCATATTGACCAACGTGTGTGAAGTTAGAGGTGGGTGTGAGTGACCAATTTGATGATCTAATTTCCTTACTCTTAATTTAAATAGGGACAATTAACAAAGGAAATGGTGTGGATGGGAGAGAGATATTTCAAAAATAGGACATATGTGGTGGTATGTCCATCCTGAGTCCATCTTCTGACCCTCTGATGGCTTTGAATTTTTACTTTTTCAGTTTAGCAAAACATATACAGTATGTTTTGTTTGACTGTGAAATCTTGATATCTGACTTCTACCCGATCTCCAGGAAATTAAAACTTTATGATATCTCAGCCTATTCAGGCTAACACACTAAAACTTAAATCTGTAGTGAAATGTTGGGATTTCTAAAATCAAATACAGACTATAGTTGCCTGTAGTTGGCATTAATTGGGTCCCCAAACTATTCAACCATCCTTAAGATCATCTCCCCTCTAAAGCCCTCTGGAGAATTTTCTGCCCAATGACAGCAGAGCTGGGTGTATAATCTTTATGTGCTTCTCCACTACTTCCAAGACTCTTTCTCTTCAGGACTCTGCATTAGGGTTTATAGTGGCCTGAGTCATGTGGCCTCATTCTTAGAGCAGACAGCTCCTTTAGGGCTCGCCAGATGCCATAGCACAGGGCTGTGGTAGGGCAATTCCTAATAAACAGGCTTCAGTGATGCTCTGAGGTTGGGCAGGGAAACATCTTGGCCATTATTCTCTGGAAGCAAAGCAAACTCATCCAGCCTTAATATTCCTAACCTTTTTCTCACTAATACAAATACCAGAAAAAAAGATGGATGGCAATTATTTTCTGGTAGTCAGCTTTCCCTAAATATACTTTCACTGAAATGACTAATAAAACATCTTTTGAAATGTTGCAGTTTTAAGACATGATTTTGCCTTCTCGTTGTTTAGCTATCCTATTTCCAGTGGTACAGTTTTTAAGTTGAGGAAAGGGAAAAACGATATTATGGAAGAAGAAATTGTAATCTGACTTCCAAGTTTTCAGAAACAGCAACCTATAAGTATTAGTTTGGTATTATATTTATATTGTTCTTTCCTTCAAATGAATCTATTGTTTTGTCTTAACTAAAAATTATTTCATTCCATTTAGAACACATTCATGAAAATATGATTTATTCTTTTTATTGTAAGAAAATATTTTCCTTTTTATAAAAAAGAAGTCTGTGCTTCATCTAATTTACACAATGATTACTTTTGTAAAATATTTGTCAAGTACAATTATTACCGATAATATCCATTTTATTAAAAACATTATGATGCTAATTCAGAATTACTTGCATAAAAGTTGTGATTGACTGTTTTATAATAGAGGTTTTAAAGCAAAAGATTGTGTTTATTTCTATTTATGTTTTATTGGGTCTATAGATGGATACTGATATCTAACTATTATGCTACCTTTTCCTTTTAACCTATTACCTATATAACCAATTGGAAATAGGACTAAAGAACTTCTTTCCACTAAATTAAATAATTCAGGGATACCACTGGAACCATTTTCTGTACCAAAGGGATTAGTTGTAGCATGAACCACTAATTAAATAATTACTTCTAATATATGAATGCACTGTGTCTTATATTTCTAAAATTATTATTTAGCGATCATTGTTAAAAGATCTCAAAATGCTTTTATCAAAAGAACATTGTTAAGACAGTCTATGGAATCTTCTGCTCCTTTGTGATAATTGTACTAAAATGTGATCCCGTAGGTAATAATGCTCGAGGGAGCTGGGTTATGTGGAAGGCTTACCTGTCGGAACATTGGCAACACAGTGTTCTCTCATGGACACCTAGCAGGGTCTCTAAATGGCTAGCAGTAGCAACTTCTATTTTTTTTTACCTCATACTCTAGCACAGTTGGTGAGTTATATTCTGACCCATAATATAATTTTTTCAGAAGTATCTCACTTATCTGACCTTAGAAGCTTGTCTCCATTGGAATGTTTTGCAAAAAATTGTGGGCTAGATTTTTTAAAATGTGTTTTTCTCATATTCTCAGAAATGTCAATGCCATTTCATTAATACAAACACTGACTTCCCAGAACTGTATCTTCTCTGATTGCCATACCTTGTCTATGTAGAAGAAATGCATGCAGTCTGATTTGCCAGTCAGGCGACACTGCTCTTTGAAGAATGAGGGACAGTCATTTACAGTTCCTGTCTTCTGCAGGGCTTCTTGAGGCTCCTTCATGGGACAGGCCTTTGAGTTTGTTTTATCCATGTCGATATGTGCTTTAAGAAGTGCACATTATCGGCACAGTGGAAGGTAGATTTTTTTCAGAATTGTGAGAAGTATTTCTCAATATGAGAACCAACTGCAGTTTTGAACTTTTACATTTGTTTCAAAATACCAATTTCTGAAATTTTAAGAGAGGGAGTAATTTTTAAGGACTCTAAATGCTTATCTCACACAAATTCTGGTGGATGATATTTACCTCAGTGAGTAGCATAAACGTTCAAAAATAATTGGTGGCTATAGACTAGGGACTTGTAATGAGAGAGGAGTGAGCTGTAAGAACCTGAAAACTAAGGTACTAGCAGTAGAAAAAAAAAAGGAGGACAGAATTATCAGAACTTGATGACAGACAAATGGGAGGACAGGAGAGAGGAGGCTGTAGAAAGTGATTTTGGAGTTTTGATTGGGAAAATATTACATACACAAAAAAGGATGTCAGGAGAGGGACTGATCTGATGAAAGAGATGTAATAATTTCAGTTTGGAAAATTGGGTATGAAACATTTAGGTAAAGATAGCTGACTGACAATTTAAAACATGGGCAATGGAGGTCAGTTTAAAATTGTTATACAATTTGCGATTAATCTCATGGAATTGATAGTTGAAGCCACAGGTCCAGATGAAATTACTAAGAGATAGGATAAAGGCAGTGTGCAGAAAAGACAGAGCACACAGCCTTAGTGGATTTCCTCATTTAATTCAGACAAAGAAAATAATGAAAAAAGAAACAAGGTAATGTCTGGGAAAGGGAAGGGTATTTAAAATAGCTACAAGTGAGCTTATTTGTAAAGAAAATATAACTTGCGTGCACACTATTGTCTGAGAAAAGGACAATTATTCCTTTAAAACAAGAGTAAATGCAAACCATAAAGAAAAAGAAGTTTTCAGCGTATGGGCCTTAGCAAACTAGAGTTTGAAGGTAATTTCTCAAAGTAGGTGAGGTTATCGGCTGACTGAGATGAGAGTGAGTGCAGAAGAATTGGAAAATTTGCAATACCTCTGGAGCAATACAAAGGCAGTTGTAGAAGAATAAAAAGACTATTTAAGACTTAAGAGGGTCTAGGCTGATTCTGTAATGAAATAAGATGACATTATCTTATTGATTTCCTTTCATTAGCACCAGAATAATCCTTTCTATGTACTAAATTTCCATTTTAACTAATATTTATTGAGACAGCAAGGAAGGAGTAAAAGTTAATTTGGAGCTCAATAGTTTGCCGGTTTAGAAATGCTCTATTCAAATTGGTAAAACTAGCCAGCAAACATGTTCTTAATGTGACTTAGTCAACTGTATTTCCTTCAGGTTAGTGAAGTTTTCCCATCATATTATGGACTTGTGCTGGAATCCTTTTTCAACACATAAATTTCTGGGGTTTGATAATTTGCTTCATAACTCTACAGTATTCACTTACCTGAAAATTTGTTTCCTATTTAGCATTCTGTCATCCTTGAAAAACATTTAAGGATCAAAACTTGATTCTACCTGGGTAAAATTTGAACTCATTTTTGTAGCCCACATTTATCTCCAAGTGAATCTTACTGTGAGGCTACACAAAAAAGCATCTGTGAATTTGTTTTGTTTTGTTTTGCTTTGTTTTGATGAATGGGAAAGAATTCTAGACAGTGGATAAGTATGTCTTTGGCTCCACCTTCTGTACGGAGTGAAAATGAACATTGTAAGAAGTAACTGGTAACTCATTTACTGTTTC